AAATTAAATGTTAACTATGAGTAAGACTCACAGATACGTCACCATCATTAATCATGCCACAAACGCTTTAGTCTGACAGCTCCCTCTGTGTTGCTGCCAATCTGTCTCAAGACTGAACAAAAACAGAACTGTTTTTGTCTGGCTTTTTGACCTAATTGATACCAGAGTTAAATTAGATATTTAATGATCCTTTCTGAACTCTCTGCAAACTATGTTTAAGGATGCCGTCCATCCATTTTCTGTCCAATATGTCTTATTGACAAACAGGATAAACAACCATTCGCGTACACCCTTACTCCTATGGAAAATTTAGAGAAACCAATGAACAGTAAAGTTTTTGAACTGTAGAAGGAAGCCGGAGTACCCGGAGTGAACCCACGCATGCGCAGGGAGAACATAGAAACTCCATGCAGAAAGCGGGCCGCTGCTCTAGCCACTGCTGCACTGTGGAGCCCATTTGTTTAGGGATGCAAACAAGTAAATGCCTGGAAAACTTTATTCAAGTTAGGTTCAATATATATCATTTTAGTTGTTGGCAGGTTTAAACTCAATAAAACTAAAGCTTATAACTGCATGAAAGATACAAGTGCAGTTTTGTTTGTTTTTGATGAATAATTATATAAATACTGAAAAGCATGTACTTGATGCTCAAATTTTATTTGGTTGTGGCTTTAAGTTGAGGGAAGAAATCCCAATATTTTAAAGGAAACAAGGATATAAATGCATTAAGTAGCTAATTAATGATGTCCTACATCAAACAGGATAAAATATCTATTTTTTTAAGGTCATATTGTACTGTCTTTCCACTTTCAGCTAGAAAAATCCCATGCTCTTTAGTCATTCTGAACATAGTACACTAAAGAGGCAATTTGGGAGAACTCCTTTGAAAAGTTTTCCCAGGGTTACAGGATCAAAAGTGTGGGTGAAACAACGTGACTGACTTTTAATGGTTGCTCACCCCAGTGAACATCAGAGGGAAGTGGGGCACCCTGCTGAGTCCTGACTGTCAGATTTACACATTGATTAAAAACAGTGTTTGTAATGCTCCGATGGCAGCCTGGTTATCTGCTCCGGTCTGGTGCTGCAGTCTCCTCGCGGTAATTGAAAGGTTGGAGGATGTTTGGCAGTCTGACAGTAATTACCCCTTGCTGTTTTGTGTTCCGTCATGTAGACTGAATCTACTGTATCCTGGAATAGACAAACTTAAAAATGTTGGGTATACGTTTTAAAAATGTTTTATGAAAGGGGCAGTTAGACATTTGTAAAGAGAGGACATTTTGGTTTCGGAGGAATGATTGGTTCAGACACTTTGATGGATATCAGGCATGTTTACATTAGATGGGACATCCATGGTGAAAATCATCAATGAACTTCTGGGGAGCTGTTTTTCTTGCTCTCATTATATAGTTTTATCTTATATTTTGCCACTCCAATTGAAATTACCTAGTTTTAAATCAAGTTTAATTTCAAACTATAGTTCCTCTTTTGCTCATACAGTATCACAGCTTAAAATAATGCAAGGTGTTTTATATTTGCTGAAGTTTGTTGTTTTTGACCTTTGGTAAAGACATGTACCTAAACTCAGCACATAAAAGCTTGCACTGCAGACGTCTGTCTTGGTGTCTGACGATCAAGGAACTACTACCAAAATAAAATGGTTTTCTGCTATATATAATTTTTCCTGAAAAACTGCATGAAAAGTCTTTAAGCTTGGGAATAATACATGTTTATTCACCAAGGTGTCTATCTTATTGCTGGTTTGCATCTTGTTCTCTCCAGATGAAGCTCTGCAGAGGCAGGAGGAGATCTGGCAGCAGGAGGTGGAGGAGTCTTTGTCTCGTTGTAGGTCTCTTTTTCATCCATCAAGACCGAAACACGTTGATTTCCTGCATATCACTGCTCCTGATGATGAGGTCACTGAATTTCCCTTAGCCGAACCTCTCCACCAGCTAACGGTAAGTCAAATAAAACCCTGCATGTTTTTTACCTATGGAAAGCAGAGCTCTTCTTAAAAAAAATAATATTCTCACAATTGAGGCAGGGATGGGGACATTTGTAATGTTTTTGAGGAATAAAACATTTCTACATGTGGAAATTATAAAACCTGAAGTACATGTATTCAATGAAAAGAATGAAGGGAAATCTATTGACCTAAAGAAAATGTGTGCAAAATCAAGCACATAACAGAAATAAGACTATCCACTTTGGTTAGAAAACAACATTGGTGCAACTAATCTGATTTGGGAACATATTCTAAAAACAGTGTATTGCAGATGGCTGAATGTAAAATACTTTACTGTATTTATCTTGGTATAATTTCTTAATTAAACTCAACAAAATAGATTTTATTTAAAATTGTTCATCCTACACCTATTTTTGAATAAAGATATCTCAGCTTTTCTGGTATGCTTGAATTTTTGCTTAACATTTACCAAGCAGAACATGCAAAATATGTATACTGTGTGTCTTTAGTTGCTATCATGGGTTGCTGACTGTGTGCTAAATCGTAACTTCCCTGCTCCTCCCTGCTTTCACTCTGTCCCCAATAACTGAGCAGAGATTCCTCAGTGTGCCACAGCCCTGTTGCACAATAGGAATGGACGTTCTTTAGAGGGAAATTATTTCAGGGATTTTTCTACTACCATACGCCTGTAAAGTAATACTTGTTAAATTCAGAATGATTATTTTGGAATCAAAACATGTTACATTATGAATGCAGTCAGGTCATTAGTTTTTGTTTACATTTTTTTGGGAAACCAGCAGCATTACTGTTTTCCCTACTTCATGTCATTCATCAAAATCACCACTAGCTTTGCAGCAGGCAGCAGTTATTCCACACAAATAGTCCAGATCTTTGAGAATACACTGGTAAATTGATGAAATATATAAAGTACCTTTCTAGTCCCAATGACATCTAAAACGATTACCTCACCTAGCAATGTTCACATACACCATTTCACAGTTTGGCACATGTAGGAAAGGGTGAGATGAAATCACACACACAACTTTCTGGCTTCAAGAAAAATAACATTAATGTGGAAAAACTGCATCCTAACAGATGCTTGGTAGAGATGCATGTCTTCAATGTTTGTAGTTTGGGGTTTAGACACCAACAAAAACTGTGACCTGCATATAGTAAAAGGATTTAAATGCAGGACAGTGGAGCCAAGGAGTAAAACCTCTGAGAATGGGCTTTGTATTTTACCCTCACGCCACCAGGGCATCCATAGCTACATTTTTTATTTTGAAAACAAGTCTCTGCCTCAGAAAGTTATCATTGCACAAGAACGTACGTAACAAAAAGGAAATTGTGCATTGTTTCTCCTCCCATACAAATATTTTATGATGTATAGTTTCAGTTACCAGAGCACTCCAGGTGCAAGATCAAAATGCTCTAACCAAGGGGTCATAATTAACATCTATAGGTTTCTGCACCAAATTAGAAAGCAGATCATGTAGAAAATTACAGAATCTCTGTTAAAAATGCTTCATTTTATGCACAATTACTTTAAAACAACACCTCGGTGGAAATTAGTCTACACAGCACTCTGTTTTCAGTCATCTAAAGTTTTTTTCCATTGACTTTTTTTTTTTTCACCTGTTCGGTTAACTTAATCTGATGATTTGCATGGAAGGACTGTATTCTAAGATATACATCTAATATAAACCCGCATCTTTTCATCATAAGTATTGCAGAAATTCTAATTAAACACTAAATTGATGTTTTTTTCTTATGCAGAATATTATACAAGGTAATCTGGATGCAGTATTGATACTGTTTTTCCTTTCCTGAAAAAAAGACAGTATTGAAAAAATAAATAAATGAATGTATAAATTGTCATACAGTAAAGCTCAAAGTTTAGATCCCTAAAAGAATATAAATCCCCCCTAAGTGCTAATCTAAAGTGCAGCTCAGTAAAGCCTCACAGCAATATGTACATGCAGAGTAATGTAAATGTTGTAATGAAATCTACTAACTGTTATCATTTATGCAGTCTGGCACTAACCTGCTGGCTGTAATAACACAAAGGCAAACAAGGGCGGAACCTGAATGTGGAAAAAAAAACTCAAACAAAAGTTAGATAACAAAATTGATGTTTATATTCTGACAATGATATCCTGAATTTACAATATTAAAACAGTTTGCTACCATTTGTTTCAGCTGGAAAGACATTATTTGAATGCTAGATATCTGTACTCTGAGGAAGTTGTGCATCCTTTCACTGCCCATACAGAGCTTTGATACCATAAGGGAAAAAATGTCATTTTATTTTTAGTAAGATTACAAATGTTTTCCTGTATGATTATTCCCCCTGTTTTTCTTGCAAAGTTTGTGGATTTTTTTTAAATCTCGAGTATATTCATGATTATATAAATCATTTTTTTCATGCATATTTTAAAATTAATATGTATTACATTTTTTATTTAATGGTTTTGATTTTTTATAAATACCGTTTCTAACATATTATTTTACTTTTGTGTTATCTTGAATCACACTGGCTGCAGTACTGTAAGAGTGTAATAAAATATTTTTTTTCAGTAAATGATTATGTTTATATAATGTATTTACACTGTAGCTTGTTTTGTTTGGTCTATGTACTCAAGTTTTTTAGAGTTAGCTTTGAGTTAATTATTTGCAGCTCCAATTAAAATAATCTGTGCTCTTTTCTTATCTTACACAAGTTATCTAATTAGTATAGTTTTTTAGAGTTATTTTAAAATGTGATAAACAAAAACTGATCTACTGAAATTAATTTTAAATGAAATATCTGCATCAAAAATAGTTTGCTTTGTTGCAAACTTATAAGGTGGATCATTAAACACCCAGGAAGTCAACCAATTGTCCTGTGGAGGTGGATTCATGCCAGCTGCAGTAAAGACACTGTTGGCAGTGGAATTACAGACCAAATGTTTAGCAAGTGATCCATGCCAGTCTTGTTTACTCTCCTTCTGCTGTGGGTGTGGTGCTCCTCCATCTGCTCTGCGTGACTTCTTTAAGGAAGTTATGGTGTTAAAAGAGACGTCCTTAGCCGGAGACACCATCTGTCTCATGTTTCTGTGCTCCAGTCTGCAGGATGATGTCAAAGTAGTTAAACTATCACAACAGGTAGAGAAAAGCCACACGAAAAGGTCAAACCAGGAATCAGAGGCTGGAGCGGGGACTTGGTTTGGATTTTAACTGCATGTGGCTAAGCTGAGTCACTCCAGCCAGCAGCGCAATGGAAAAGAAGTTGGGAAAAGTTCCATTTCTTCTGTGGGTTTCTTTCCCACTGCTGGCTCGTCTGAACCACTGAGAGCTGCTTCTTCTTTTAGGCTTGGTGCATGAGGAAAAGAAAGAACTTGTCGAACTCTGTACGGACCTATTGCTTTGTTTTCACCAAACTGGACGACCCACCGGTTGGATAAGACTACGGGAGGCATTTCTTTACATAGATCATAGGAATTTAAAGTTGCATGCTGGAAACTTTGAGTAAATTTAATGCATGCCTCCAATGACCGATAAAACCCTCTGAAAGTGCATTTTCAAATACTGAAAAGTCTGATGCAAATGGAAGAGCTAAGATCTTTAAGCATCCTAATGAAGGAACAAAGTGAAGACATACTGAGAAAGGAGCAAGCTGATGATCTAAATCTTAACAGGGAAATTAACCCAGTGGATGCATTTAACCTTTGTATTGGTTCATTGTCCTATTTTGCAACGCCTTCTGAAGATGTTAATGGGTCTTTTATAGAAGAAACTGACACAGAGACAACAGAGAAGATGATCATGCAGTTGGAAGAACAGAAAACACGGGATGAATACATCGATAATGGCTTAGATAATAAAAATCCTGACCAGATTAACACGACAGCTCAACACAAAGTTAACACATGCGAGAATGAAGATCTATCAGTGGATATGTTTGCAAGAAATGGATCTATTTCCCCAAAATGTCAAGATGTTTCTGCAAACAGCACGGAGGCAGAGTGTGGTTTCTCAAACGTAAATAATAAGCATGATGGCGTTAAAGAGGCCACTCAAAAATTGTGCTTTGAGGAAGATTGTGTCCCAATTTCTCACTCTGGTGTGGATTCTGAGAAGATTGTGGACCTACAACCAAAAAGGAAAGATTCTGCAATAGTTTTGAAACATACACTTGATGCTTTTCAAGAGCAGGGACCAGAACTGGAGGATGGTGAGGAAGGGAAATTTATTGGAAATGAAGGAGAAAAGGGAAAGAATGTCTGTTCAAACTTCCTTACCAGTGTAAGTGATGATTCACATGATACTAATAAGCTAACGGCTAATTGTCCACTAGGGTCGAGTCTTACCAGAGCAACCTTCTTTCCAGCCTCCCCAACAGACAAAGAAACCCAACTTCTGGTTCTGTTTGGTGGCCTTAGAGTTCTCAAGAAGGGGGCTTCTGGAAATCAACTCCTCGAAGAAAAGCAGGGTGATGCAAAGGCCCAGGGAGGCTTTCTGGACCAGATTTCCCAGTTTCTGAATCGAGAAAAGAGTGCAGGTGATGAGAAAGGTAACGATTTGACCAAGAGTAAACCACATAAGGGTGAAATCGGAACATGCATGGATGGAAATGAGGGATGTCCAGAAAGTAAGAGCAAAGAACTTCAAGTAGAAGATGATTTAAAGGATTCAGTGCAAGTCGAGCCAACCAAGCCTGTGTCAAGCGCAGAAGCAGCTTTTGATGCCTTTAAAGCCCTTTTCACCCCAAAACCTCTGAAGAAAGACTCATCAGAGAGGACTGACCTGGAAGCAGTGAGGAAGAAGTTACGAAATGATAAAGATGTGCTCAGATTGCTTTTTGAGAGAACCTCCAAAAAGCCACTAGAAAAGAAAGACACATGTGATGAAAAAGTAAGGAAGCATCAAATGCAACGTTTATGCTTTTTATGCATATTTTACTGTGAAATCACAGAAACTCCTGATGAAAGCAGAACAGAAGCTTAGAGAGATGCTATAATAGATTATTTTATTGTCTTTAGATGATTGTTAGAGGAATAAGAAACTGCATTTTCACATTTAAAATAAATTTTTTATTGATCTCTCCCCAGTCAGAAGCACAGACAACAGGAGAAGGAGACGAAAAAACTCCTGGTCGCCTGCAAGCCGTGTGGCCTCCTCTCAAGGAGGAAAAGGTTGGCCTTAAGTATACTGAAGCAGGTACTGACATTTTTACCTATGATTTCCAGAGCCAGCCTGAATCATAGACAAACTAAGTCACATTTTAGCATACCAAAAAAAAAAAAACTTGTGGTCTCGCAAAAGGCTTTGAATTGTCACTTAATGAGGATTTTAAAAGCTGATGTTCTGCTTTTCTTGTAGTTGTTGTCTAATAGAAAAAGATCTCTGATATACAAAAAAAAAATACTTTTACCATTGTTGAACTAAATTGGATTTGCTTCAATATTTCATATGCAAATGCAAAATGCAAGCTAGAAATGCAAAAATGCAAATAAAAGACAATTCTTTCATATGTGCTGACAGGGAAATATTATTCCATGATAGCTGAGCTTCACTGTACACACCCATCCCTGTACACACCATCAGAAAGGTGGCAGCAAATACGCTTTCTAATTTACTTTTCAGAAACTCAGTCATCCATTGACATTTGAGTGTTTGCTTAAACTGTTTACTTTTGTGAGCTGTTCTGCTCTGAGAATTGTTATTTTTCTAGACTGTGTGGGAATCTGTAAAAATGATATGGTTATTTTTGTGTGGTAGTGTTATCTTAAACATCCTCTCAGTTCTAGCTTTACTAAATTTTAAAAATTCAAAGTAGTATTAGTTTTATTTTATCTCTAGGAATCTAAAACTGCCTTTGTTTTGATGTTGTTGTTTTTTTGCTCTGTTAGAGCACCAGGCTGCTCTCCTGCAGCTGAAAAGAGAATGCAAACAGGAGCTAGAGAAGTTACAGGTCAGTATGACGAGTGAATCAATCTATTACGGTATTTTACATGTAAATATCTCGCACATAACTATATCCAATTTTATCACAAGGCACTTTACAAGACGAAGAGACATTTAAAATGCAGTTGCAAATTTCTATGCAATAACTTAATATTTAGTACCCACAGAGGCAGCTTTGGCTACGATTTAGCTAACCAATATCAGTGTATGAATGAGCATGAGTGGGTAAATGACTGATTGTAGTGAAAAGCACTTTGGGGTCCTCTGTCTTGAAAACGGTGCTCTTGAAAAATAGCCATAAAACGGGCGAATCCAAACGAAGCACCGAAATGACGTCAGTTTGGGGATGATGCCTTATTTGGTTCTGGCCTGTACTTTTTCACGCCCCGAAATTGACATACAGACCAGCCCACTGGTTCACTGGCCCAGGAACATAAATAGAGGTAGATGTAAGATACTAGGTCAGCTGTTTAGCCTACAGTTGGGTTTACTTCTACAAGAATTACAAAATAGGCAGTTTCTCTATTGAAAATGAGCCAGAAAGAGGGGCGTAAATGCAGTGTTCAGGGCTGCACGGAGCAAGGGGAAAATTTCGACAGTCTTCCCAAGGATCCGAAGACTTGACAGGCATGGATTATTTTTGTCCCTGCAAAGTTTGATGCTCAGCTCTTTATTTGCTCTAAGCATTTTAACGAAGACATTTTAGGGAAAACGTAGGATTTGCTAAATTTATTTTACCAAAACGAGGGACTGTTCCGACCATCATGCCATAATGCAAGCTGTAAGGACTATTTTTTCGCTGCTGTGCCGCTGACTGGACCGGACTGGGCATTCGAATCAAGCAATCAGCTGGGTCCAAATCAGTTGGGTACAGAGCAACCGAACCCGACCCGATGACGGTATGCTTCCACCCGCCTGCCTAACTGTACTTCCCCCTGCCTGCCCGGTAAGGCAGGCGAAACAAAGGGCCGCGGCTACTGCCATTGGGTCGGGTTCAGTCGCTCCGTCCCCCGCTTGCTTCCTCCCCCGTCCACTGGAGTTCCAGGACCAGCCCTAGAGCTCACGGCTCGGTTTCAGCTGCACTGTAGTCGATCAAAATCCAGGACAATTTTGAAATTCCCCCTGGACATTTCTTTAGGTATAAAAAGTAGGACATGTCCGGGAAAAGAGGACGTCTGGTCACCCTACTATCAACAATTTGGTGTTTCAGTGAGTGAGTGCTTGTTGCTATGATGCGCTTGAGCTCAGCGGCGTTGCTCGTTGTAAACCAACCAATCAGCGCACAGCTCATCTTAATATTCATTAGCATACCATAAAGGGAAGAAATCCTTTCGTTTCATTCTAGGGCTTTTAACCAGGCTTGCATTAGGGCTCATAGAACAGCAAATATGCAATCTTCAGCCCAACCAATGTTAAACGCCCTATTCAGGGACCTTAGGGACCAGCATATAATCATTCTATGACCCCTTTAAGCCGTAGTGTCAGATGATTCTAAGTGCCAACAACAAGACATCTTAGCAAAGAAATATTGTAATGTGTTCACACTTTGACAAAAGGTACCACGGGATCATGGGTATGATAACATTAATAGTAGCTCTGTGAATATTTTGTGTAAAGCCAGCTATTGGGATTAATGTTTATATTCAGGCCACCCCTTAAGATAGTTGCAGATACCCAATGCATGAAGCCTATGCTGAACTGGAGAGCTCCTTCAGTGACAGAATGCTGCATCTTAAATGCATCAGGGCACGTTATCACAGATCCTTCCTCCCAGCATCTGTAAGACTCTATAACGACCACTATTCCCAATAACCTCAGTAAGTTGTTACATTCATGATTATTTTTGCACAGTTTCTATATTAGTCAGGTAAATAACATGCTGCTGTCATTTTGCACATCTCTGATGTTGCTGCTATTTTCAAATATCCATCACTGTTCAAATGTCCAAAGCTGTATATTATTTATTTATTCTCTAGATGCACAGTATTTATATTGTTAAAGCACTTTACGGTATAGTATTTTATTTATTTATGTCTTTTAACTCTTCACTATTATGGTATTTTTATACATTTATCTAAGTTCCACATTTGTGTGTCTATTTTTCTATAATCTATTTGCTGCTTAACACCAGAATTTCCCCATTGTGGGAAAAAAGGGATTTTTTTATCCTATTCTATTCTATTCTTATTTAAAGCCATTACTTTAATGGCTTAAGTTGCGTTTAATATGGAATTAGTTTTAACATTTGTCAATTGCTGACAATTGGTGGGTGAACCCCACCTCTAGCCAATAGACTGCCAGAGATAGGCACTGGCCCCACTGTGACCCTGACAAGGACTAAGTGGGAGAAAATGGATGATGGATTTGTCAATTGATTTTAAAATATAGTGTAATCTTAAGATAAGCAAAATATATAGAGATTTGTGGTTTTAAATATGTTTCTTTTTTACTATAGTATTCTAAAACGGGTTATGATAGGTTCCCTGACTTGGTATTAAGAATACAACATCCACAATATAGCATGATAAAGTAAACATAAACTACAAACATTAGGAGTAATAATAATAGCTTTATGCAACATGATTGTCAGTTTTTACAGTTTTTTTTAACCTCTGCAATGATCTCAATTGATGTTATCAGATTTTGTTTTTCAGAAAGGTAAATAGAAAATCATAGAAAAATACTGTAAATTAGATATTGGTTTGGGAATATTCAGTTTACCTTCAATTCTCTCAGTTTTTGTTATCCTACAAAAATCTAATTTACAACTCTAAGTCTAAAATATTAATGGGTTAGTTTCTGAAATAAGCAATTATAGTCTTTAAGAAGTCAGAAAAAAATATTTTGGTGATGATTATTCTTAAATTGTCATCATTATACTGTCACTGTCAGCAATGTGTGATGCAGTTTTTTTATTTACGTAATTTTCAGGAGGATTATGAGATTCAACTCTACAAACTGAGGGAGCAACACAGATACAACGTGGAACGTTTGGAGTTGGTTGTTGCTGAGCTACAGGTCAAAGTTTCCCAGGTTACGAGTCACCATCCAGGGAGCCATAAAGATGTGGCTATTTCTACTACAGATGTCTTTTTAAACAAGTCATTCCGCACTGTCAGCATCCAGACTGACAGAGAGAGCTTCATCAAAACTCCAGAAGATGGAGAGGTTACCAGGACAGCTTCTTCAAATCTTCAGGAGCAAATGGGAATCCCTAAAAAGCTGGACATGTCTCCCATCAGTCTCAACCTGTCTGGTCAGACAGGAGATGAATTTTCTTCCCCTTCTTCATCTTCAACATTACTTCAGACTCTACCTTCTGGAGAGTCTTTACCAATACCAGGCACTGGTTCTCTGAATTCACCACCAGCTGCACAAACCCCTCCTCCTCCTTTGCCACCACCCTTGCCATCTTTGTCACTACCTCCACCACCTCCACCTCCGCCCCCACCTCCTCAGTCAGGACTAGGTGTTTCTCACCCACCACCTCCTCCACCAGTAGGGGGTCTTGTTGATAAACCTCCTAGGAAGCCAGTAGTGGAACCTTCCAGAGCCATGAAGCCTCTTTATTGGACCAGAATCCAGATTGAAAATGACAAGTAGGTTTACACAACTGTGGATTGCTAAAGTCTGGTATGACTTTAATTAAAGCCATTTTTGTTTGCAATTTGTACAAAACATTTTCTGCTCTCGGACACTGACACAGAGAGTTTTTAATAATTTACAGGATAGGCATGTATGGACAATTACACTATAAGTAATGTATATAGTATAGTTTCCAAATTCGTTCAAGCACAATTTTAGTCACTAACCGAATGTTTCAAGTTTTATGATTAAATTAATAAAATTATCTTAGTGTTTTTTTATACTTTAGTCCTTTGATAATAAGAAAAGCTGCAAAAACCTAGGAATATTAAGAAACAGTTGCTTTAACAGGATTGTTTAATAAAAATCATAATAAAAATGTTTCTATATTGATTCAGATAGAGACTTAAAGAGAATGCATTTAGAACGCATGTTTATTGAGTTATTATGAACAACTAATATACTTTTTCCTCCATTAGCAACTACTTACTTTGGAACAACTTAGAGGAACCACACATAATAAATGCCAATGAGTTTGAGGAACTCTTCGCTAAAACAACTGTTATGGAAAAAAAGAAGCCCCTGTCTCAGACTTTTGAGAAGAAAGCCAAAACTAAAAAGGTATGCAGCATTATTAATCTACACAACATAGTTTGGTTTCCGGAGAGTCTTTTGTCCACTAGAGGGAGACAGTGACACTACTTCTTGGAACCAGTTTCTGGATTAACCTAATTTTGTAATCACATTTCTTAAGTCAATTAAAATCAAATTAGTGATCCTATGCTATGATAATTGTAATTTTGTTATGCTTTTGCCTCAAAGGGTTTTTAAAATTTTTATGATCTAAGCTTTAAGTGCAGTTGTTTCCTGATTGTTTGATCTCCCCCATGTCCTCTTTAAAATTCTTAAGTTTGAAAGAGTACTATTTTCACTCAAAATGCAATAAAAGCTAAATTCATATGGTAAATAGCAAAAAAAAGTATATTAACAAGAGTAGAAAGAAAAGTGAAATATGATCTGTGTGTTTGTTCTGTTCTGTTTAACACTCAGTACACACTGTACACTCCTCCCTAATGCCTTACTAATGGTTTCTGATGGTCAGGTAGCCATGGTAACTCTGTTTGCTTTAGATCATTAAGCTGCTTGACAGCAAGCGCTCTCAGGCTGTGGGAATCCTCATATCAAGCCTCCACCTAGAAATGAAAGATATTCAGCAAGGTGAGTGAATTCTATACATTTAGATGTGTAACAGGAAACATGAAAGCATATGAGTTAAAACACAGAAATTAGGTTTAATTAAAGGCTGAATAATTATACATAGATTAACCAAATAATATCTAACACACTGTAAAATACAGATTTTAATTCAGCCAATAAATGGTCAGCTTCTATATACCTTCTTTTCTAAAGGAGCATGTTGCATGCTAAAGTTATTAATTTCTTTCTCAACAATTAATGGAAAAAAAAAAACATAATCTGCATTGCAGCCTCTGTACCATCACCATGAATTTTAGATCAATTCACAATATTTCTGGGGCTTGCACCACCTCTATATTGGTCCTGGGACATGTAGGGCAAGTCTGGGGCCACCCACACCTGCTATTAGGCATACTTTCCTTCTGAAGAAGATTTGGAAATCCTTTATACATAACTAAGGGATACCTGCTGCTCTTCAAGTTTTTATTTTTATTAATTTGGTTGTCTGTTGTCTTCTTTTTGCTGCTATGTTCTCGATTTGCTGTAGTTACACTATATCTTCTGTGTTTGCTTTTTTTTCTGCTATGTTTTAATGTCCCTCTTTTCATGCGCACTTTCCTGTCTCTATCTCCTTCCCTCTCCGTTAGTTCTTATCCCCTCTTTCTTTATCACCCCTTTTTTTTCAGTCTCCGTTGTATAGGATTTTTCTGCCTAAATAATTTTTTATGAAGTTTCAAGCACCAAATGGAACCTGATGGCATTAGCTCGGGCGCATCTCTTCCCAGAGCTTAATTGACAAAAGAGGACACACAGAAAAGATTCCTTCATACTAAATGATATATCTTTCAGATTAAAGTCAGGACTTTAGTTCAACCACCCCTTATGCTACTAATCTACTTACAGAAGAAAAATAATGGTAATTGTAAAGATTACTTTATACAAAAATAATCTTGAGGTATAAATTATTTCCAGCTTTAATTAGATTACTTTACTTTTACTTTTAATGTGAAAGGTAGCACATATGCGGAATGCAAAATCAAAGGCACCATTGATCCAAAATGTTTAAAAGGAAGATTGGCAGTTGGACTAAATGCTAAGCAAGTTTTCAACCAGCCTAAGTCAACAAGCTGATAAAAGAAAGTTATTTTTTAGGCAAATTTGGAATTTAAGCTAATTGTGTATCATGTGTCTGACTAATTTATATTTTGATTTTTAACTCTTTGCTATCATAGTGAAGGGGTTTTTATTTTCTCTTCTGTGCTTGTACCCTCAGCTGTACTGACCGTGGATCATTCTGTGGTGGACCTGGAGGCCATTGAAGCACTTTATGAAAATGTATGTTTACACAAAAACCTCCCTGAGTTTTAAACAGGTTAACTAATGTTAAAAGTTTTTTTCTTTATATGATTTTGTTGTGTCAGAGAGCTCAGGCAGATGAGCTGGAGAAGATCAGGAAACATTATGAGCTGTCTGAAGAGGAGGATGTTAAACTGTTGGACAAACCTGAGCAGTTTGTATTTTTTTTGTCCCTTGTTTTGGGTTACAATAGCTTTCCTGAGATTAAATTAGTTAGAAGATCATATATTCTGTAAAATTTTCCAGGTTCCTGTATGAACTGTCTCAGATTCCAGAGTTTACTGGCCGAGCTTGCTGTATGATCTTCCAGTCGACCTTCATTGATGGGATTGCATCAATAAAACGCAAGCTAAGCTCTGTCTCTTGTGTCTGTAAGGTAGGAAAATTTCTTAATACAATAAATTAATTCAACTAAAAGGCTCTTGTCGCATTAATGGTTTTGGTTAAAGGTTCTGCTGGAGAGCAGCGGCGTCAGGGAGGTTATGGGACTGGTGCTGGCTTTGGGGAACCACATGAACGGAGGCAGCAGGATCAGAGGCCAGGCAGACGGTTTTGGTCTCGAAATCCTTCCAAAGCTCAAAGATGTAAAAAGCAGGGTGAGTGCTGTTGTCTCCAGATGAACAATAACTTTTTTCTCTTTGCTGTAACTCAGTTAATACATTTTACAGCACATTGTACACACAAACTGGTGTGTAGAATTTATTTAAGGAGTAATATTATTGTTTGTAAATGTCTTTAACTGCTAACACTGAGGGAAAGAATAAATATATGGCTTTTATTTTATAATTCATCCACTTACTTTTTTCCTTATCCTTATGTCAACTTGCCAGCACCTGCAGGCAGCAGCTTAGTACAGCTCTCTCTACACCATTTACATTTTGATCACTGCTGCACTTTATAAATGGAAATGTTCATTTTCACTGCTAAGCTAAGTCTAATGATGTATAACAATAATAATAATAACAATAAAATAAATACCGGTACATAAAATAATAATTCATAACAGGGCAGTCAGAAGAGCTACAATTGCTTTTAAAGCTACTGTTTCACACCAACTGTACTACACAAATGTTTATTTTAGATAAATATCAATTCATGTTCATTAAAAGTGTGTTACATAATTAGTCAATTGTCATGAAATAAAAAAAACATATGATATTTTTAAAGAATCAAAAGCGTGAAATTAAAAATGTATCTACTCTAAAGGTATGTACCTTCAAAACATTCCCAGCCAGTCATTTCCTAATCCAGTGTTTCCATGGAATTTTTTTATATAATTTTTTTTCTTATGCTTTAACAGTATGTTTATTTTCTGACAATTGGTAGAAAGAAAAAGAAAATAAAAACAAAGATTCGCCATTTTCATTACACTTTCCTTAAATGTTAATCAATAAAAACCTGTACAGCTTAAGAAGTGATGACCTTGTCTTTTACAAGACATCTAAGCCAAAAAGGTTGACATCCTGTTGACTTTTCTAAAGCATAAATGTGTTCTACATGAAATCCTGTTGGACAAAATAATTTTAGTTAACTTTGACTTTTTTCAATCAGACAGTTTTTGTCTATGTTTTTTTTTTAATTTTAAAGTACAACAAAAAAGGCTGGTGGGACGGGGTGTGTGTTTGGAAAAGGAAATACAGATTGTTTTCCTAGCTTCCCAGTCTTTTTGATTCTACTAGGGAATCTTGACAATCCAGTGATATTCTGAAAGATTTGTTAATAATTGGCAAAAGCTAACCACCGATTCCTTTTCTAATCTAATGCCAATTGATTTATATCTAAAACCTTTAAAGCAGTTTGACACAATCTTTCCAATTTAGCTCTTATGCATATTACATATGCACTTAACAGTGTACATTTAAACAAACAATATCTACTTTAGAATCTATTTGACAGTAAGCACAAAAATGATTTTTCGTTCATAATTATAAACATTCATGATGAGAGTACTTAAAGACAGAATATTAGTTAATTATAATCAAAGTAAAACTGTATTTAACCCTCTACTTGAGAAAAAAAAATTAAGGCAGTCCGAGTGGACTTCACATTTAGCAGAATAGTTTTTTTTACATACGTTTTTATATATCTTTTATGTTAAACAATTAAAGGGAAAATAAAATATGTAATTAGAGCTTGTACCTGGCATTAACATAAACTTTAGTTTAAATTTACAGTCATTTATATCCTGACTCCAACATTTCTTCTCAGGACAACCGTATCAGCCTTGTCGACTATGTGGTGTCGTACTACCTGCACAATGTGGATAAGGTATTAAAAAAAAAACTGTTTCTTTATTTATTTGTATATTTGCTGTAAAAAGAAAAAATATATATATTTTTTTTCTGGGGGAGCTCGTAAAAATATATAAAAGAGAATAAGCCTTGAGATGATAATGATTTAAGAGTAATTTGAGACTTTTAAAAATCCCAGTTACCAAACATTTAACAGCTACTGTGTAGATTTAAACTAAAGGGAATAAAGATTTTACGTCTAGTCGACTAGCTTTAATGCTGCTATCTAATACTAACTGAACAGGTTGCTGTGATCTTTTCCAATGTTTGTTTGTATTTCTGCAGAATGCTGAAACAGAAAATAGTGTGTTTCCTCTGCCTGAGCCTCAGGACGTCCTCATTGCAGCTCAGGTCAAGTTTGATGACCTCAGCAGGGATCTGAGGAAGTTTGAACAAGATCTGATAAGTATGTGACACAACCTCTTGTTTGTGATGGAAATTTAAGAATACAATTCCAGCCATTCTACTCGAAGGTTTCCAGGAATTTACCCCCCCCCCCAAAAAAAAAAAAAATAATAATAATAATGTGATGGTCAATTTGCAGCCATCTCATCAGAGAAGTTCCTAGTGACCAAACTTAGCTTAACCTGGCATCAGTTTTCCATATGCACCCTCAGACCAATACCACCTCTGCTTAAATGAACCACTCTGGTTTTACGCCTTTGGCCCCAGTCACTAATGAGCTTGATATTGATATTTAGGACTGTAAATCTGCATCTGTGACCAAACCCTTGTTTAAACTAAATTTGTTCACAGAACAAAAGATTTCCTCTCCTCTTTCTTATCCCTGAAAATGCCCTCACGACGCCATCCTGCATGCCAGTCAGCTCCAAGGCATTTCCGAGACAATGCTTATAGTACATGTGCATGATTAAGATTTAGTGTTTTTTGTGTCCCTCTGAGGTTTTTAGATGCATTTCCCTTTGTGTTTGGGTTTGTGTGTGTGACTGTGTCTGTGTGTGTCGTCAGAGACTAGTAGGAGTCTTGGTGCTGATATACTGGCCTGGCGCCTTTCAGATCCAGCTCCTAATCCCTCTGCCCATCAGATCTCCCATTGTTGTGCCTTTGTGCCCATGTCGCCAGCGCAGGGAGACTGTTGCCTTTTACTTATGTAATCTCCAGACCTTCAGTATCTGCCGCATCTCTGCAGCGAGACATGCATCCTTAACCTGCTCTGTTGTATTACCTGGGCACCCATGTGGCCCTGAGATGTGTACGACAGATAGCTTTCTTTTCCTCTCAACACAGCTCTGTCTTATCAGGCTATCAACCCAAACTACTGAGTGATATCAATCTGCTGTCGCAGCTTCCTTTTGTTCAGTCTGTTTTAACTGCCCTCATGCCTGGTTACCAGCTCTGCTTTTGTCTTTCTTCACTCTCCTCCCGTATGTTTGGTATAGTCTCTTTAATTGTGGTTAAGCTTCTCTGTAATGAGTGCTGATTTTCTAATAAAGACCTTACAGATTTTCAGCAAAATGTACACTGGCTTTACAAAGACTAAAAGCAGGGGCCGCCAGGAATTTGGGGGCCCATGAAAGACATTGATATTGGGCCCTCACCCCGACCCACAATTATGCAAGCTTTAATACTGCTATAAAGATCGATGTCAATGTAGTTTTTATTGTCATATTTCTACAAAGGAAAATTATCAGAACATGAAAAAGTTAAATATACATTAACTTAAAATTTTACATCTACATCCTATCAAAATAATAACAGCTTATTTAAATAAAAAAAGCACAGCTGTATCTATGAACACATGAATAGAAAATAGATTTAGGATTGAAAATATATTCCTATTAATTTTCACTATAACTTAATTTAAAGCTGGATGATTTTGTTGCCCTGAGAGCTTATTTTTCATTCATCTGGTTGCGTAATGACACTAAAACATGTATCTTTTTATGTCGCAGCTTCAGGCTGCTCATGAGAATGATCCAGATTTATAGATGTCTTTTAATGGCTGTACTTTAATCTGAATATAAAAATCTAACTAAACTGTTAACTGTAACCCTGTTAGACAAAGTGGGGATTCAACTTTGCCTATTAATGAGAGGTGTGATTGAGTGTTTTATATTTCTACACTGTGTTGTATATTAGATAACCTTGATATTTAAGAGAAGTACCCTGGCCTTTCTTAGTTAAAATGCTTTAAGAAACACATATCTATGACTACATTCAAGTAGGAATTTAAAAAATACTCCAAAATAACATTTATGATGTCTAAAAATGCAATTTATTTGTATCTTAGTATGTATGAAATGCACATCAGCACATAAACACTGGCGTAATGTTTCATGCAGAAGTCCAGGTGTTTGAGAATAACTGTGAGATGAAACCATTAATCTGCTTTGAAAAGGTGCCAAGCAAAATATATATCCATAAATAACTTTAAGTTGTACATATTTGTGGATTCATTGCAGCTTTGGCACTGCTATAGGACAAAACCTAGGGATGAAGGCATAATGAGCATTTGTTTAAAGGTTTTCACTGATCTCTGAACTGCCATGACCATAACGTATGGTTTATAGCATATCTTAGCTTGTCCAGGGACAATATTTTGGAGCAGTGCACAGAGCTGACCCCAGAATTGTAGAGGGAAACCAGAAGGAATTGCAAAATCCTAGTTGGTCTAGGCAGTCCTGGGCACAACCCGCAAATTGGGATGTATAAAGGAAAGGTGTGAATCTTTAAGTGTGCCTTTCCTTCCAGCATCTTTTTATGCCTGAATTCCTACATACATAATCTATACATCTGAAATGTTGTTATTCTTAAAAAAGCTGCATACTATTTCATGCTCTTGGCCTTTTGTTTCTTGTTTATGGATCTTTAAACTCTGTCTGTTTTTTTGTGATCTGATTTAGAAACATGTCCACGCACCAACATTTAAATGTCAATATGTTTCTAGACATATTGAACACTCAAAGGACATTATTAGAGCCACATTAACCATATGGCACTCTTTAATATGCACATATTCATACACAGATGCACACATTAGTAGGTGGGTTGGTAAGGGGCACACCTTTCCCACTAAGCCACAGTCTCCTAAGATTACTTAACATACAATAAAGTTATTGTAGTTCATACATTTGCTGTATCACATCAGACATCCCTATTATTTTCATCAGTTGTTTGTGTCTATGTCAAGTTTCTGTGGCCTCTTTGATTTAAAATAAGCAAACTTCTGTGGGAACGAAATTCTCACAAAAGAAAACAGAAATGTGGAGATATCAAGCGTAGCAGTTTACACAAACCCTAAATGAAAACACTATTCTTTTTGTAATCTTATCTGGGAGATGTCAATCACATGTCAGGGCACGGGGGAGGGGGTGCTGTGGGGGGCTGGGGCCTGACTCTATTATGGCTGGCTCCAGAGACTGGCTCCTCTGATCCACTGATTGGACACAGAGCCACAGACAGGCTCAGAGAAAGGGACAGAGAGCGGAGTTTGTAAGTCGCCATCTCTGGGTGAATCTTAGTGAGTGATATCTGAAAGAGGAAGCAATGACGATAGCTGCTGCTTGGTCACAGGTGGAGCTGGTTCAACCCTAACATACCCAGACATTCTCAGGTAGCTACAGGTATTGGACTTTTTTTTTTTAAAGTTACACTACTTAACTTTTGACCCAAGTACTATTTTTATTTCAGATATATTAAATGATTTTGCAGGACAATTATAGCACTTGGTCTATATCAATCTTCTGCTTTGGCTGCCTTATTAAAGACCTTGCCTATATAGCCTTATGGGGTTGGATCATGTGACCCAGAGTGCTGTTTAGTCATCACACTTTGAGTACCTCTTTATTAGCAGTCTGAGCTCCCCCAGACCCATAAAGCTAACTATGCTAAACGCTGCTGTGACAAAAACAAATATAAATAAGTTGTCCTAATCAGACACACTGATCTCTACTTATTCACTGAACTGCTGACAGGCCGAAAAAATTGAAGTCACCTGCCGCCATCTTTTTTTCTCCCCATTCTCATGGAGCTTGGCCATAAAAATGCCTACGTGTGAAGCATTTGGCTGCAAAAACAAGCAGTTTTCTGACTCTGGGAATACATTTCACTGGTCATTTTACAGACAGTGGAGGAAATGCACAGACACAAAATACAAGTATATAGCATCATGCATGCAAAATTTGCAAATACAAAAAGACTATAGCATAAACATACATGTACTTGTAATTCAGTCTTGATGTAAATTCTTGGAATTATATGTAATACCATAACACTGTAATAAATACATGTATATTACATGTACATCATAAATTTAGCACTTTTGACACATCATCAGTGTGTGTGCTTGTGTGATATTCTTAAAATCTGACTACAGTATTAGTATAGTAGCCTAGTAAACTAAAATCTTTTTTGCCTACTAGTGATCTAGCCTTGATCAATGCCTCAGGCCCTAGAATTGGTGGGCCAATCACAAGGCAGAGATGTGTTTTCAATTTTTTGGATGCAAAGTGGGCGGGGTTTTCAGGGTGTGACGACAAAGCTGGAGAAAGCACAACAAGGAAGATGACAACACCTATTGAAAAGTTCTCGTTTGACTCTGCTTTGGAATCAGTTTTGGAAGGATTAGACTTGGGGTTTTCATTGAAACTTGAGCAGGAAGAGGCACTACGCTCATTAATTTTTAAGAAGGACATATTCACCATTTTACCAACAGTCAGTTTTACGTCACAGTCAGTTGCGCTCATTAATCAGAGCGTTGGCCAATAGGCACAGACAGCGGTTTGAAAGACAACGGGTCGTTCACATCAACAATCTTTCGATGTCTCATTCATCGGGGCCAGACTAAATTACACATTTAATCTTACATTTGCTGTGGTTTATCAGGCTATTAGTACAGTCTATTAAAACAATAATTTGGTTGTGATTGTTTTGTTTTGTATATGTTTCTTTATATATATATATATATATATATATATATATATATGTAAGGTTTGCATGTCAACGAATCAATAATAAGTTGTAATCATTTGCGCAAAAAACATGCCCACACTGTCGGACCTCCAACTGGGGCATGTTCGCTGCTGGCTGAACCTGCAGCTATACTCTTCTCGAGTAAATAGTTGAATATGGGGGGCCGTTTAGGACAAAAAACAATTTTTCCTCTCACGTAAACCAATAAAACCATGCACACACCTCAGAAGACACACACACACTCTCAATAAAACTATGTTTTCCTCTCAAACACACTACTACTCCATGACATGCACACATCACAGTAGAAACAGTCACACACAATCACAAAACTAAAATTGACCTGTCACGTACACAGATAAAACAATGCACACACCTCAGTAGACACACACACTCTCAAAAAAAACTATGTTTTCCTCTCAAACACACAACACACTTCATGCACACATCACAGTAGGAACAGTCACACACAATCACAAAAC